GCTCATTAAAGAAAAGTTTTCGATTTTTACCTTAAAAATTGTCCTTTTTTCATTAATAAAAAAAAACTACGCATTTAAAATATAAACCCTTCGATTAATTACGAGATATTCATGTCTAAAGTAAGTAAAAAAAATTTTAGAGAGATCGATTCATTAGTTTTTGAGATATCTTGCTCACTGACTTTAAAAATGTAGTTTTGAGAAAAACGCGTTTAAAGTTTAAAACCAGAGAAAATGTATTTAAAGAAATTTGGGTTTTACGTACATAGTGTCATCTATTCCAGGTCCATATAACAGCTCTTCTGCAGCAGTAGCAGTTTCCAAAGTTTTAATATATCTTTGTTTGCGAGTCGTTTGTACTCACTTCCGTGTCGCGCGCGAATTGCTAAGTAGGAGTTGTGTGTTGGCGATCGTCATGAAATTAGTTGCGTGTGATTTTGCAACTAATTTCATGACGATCATCAACACACAACTTCTACTTAGCAATTCTTCGCGTGCGACATGGAAGTGAGCACAAACCACGAATGTTCAAACCTTAGTAGTTCACGGATATAGGAAAGTAGGGATACAGCTTATTCTTGCGGGGGTGAAGCCGTCAGGGGCAAAGAGATGGTATTCATTACCCTCACTTGCTGCGCGCCCTTTCGACAAAAGTGAGAAAACTTATTCAAAAATTATCAATCGTTGTGTTAAATGTGGTTATGTATCATGCTTATTATACCAGAAGGTTTGTAGGTTATCGCCGTGTCTTTCTTCATTATTAATGCCAACGTTTCGTGAACTGATACTGCGCACCCCTCGCCCTGATGAAGTGAACGGTATGGTTCACGAAACGTTGGCATTAATAATGAAGAAAGACACGGCGATAACCCACAAACCTTTGGTATAATTGAAGAAAATACCCGTGAAAGCCTCAAAAGCGTGTCATGCTTATCTATATTTATTATATATAAATATTTACTTATTATTATCCATTATTATTTTATTCATGAAGCTTTATATTTTAACGAATAATTTATATTTATTTACTTTTTGTTCTGTATATTTTAAAGTATTATTTTTAGTAAAATTAATATCTAAGATAATATACAAGGGTGTCCCAGTAACTCTGTTACAAGGCAATATCTCTGTTACCGTTAATGATACGCGAAAATGTCTAAGGAAGAAATTGTTTGGTTCGGAGGGGAACATGTATTGGTCGCCTTGTTTCTTTTCTCGGTGGAGGCGCTAAAAAGATATGAAGGCCACCTCCTCTTTTTTAAATGAAATTATGTAATTTTTTTTAGATAACGTGATTTCTCTAATTATTTTGCATATAAAAGTATTAAGAGATAATTAATAATTCGTTGTAATAATTAAAGACTTTTTTGAGTGTATTTCAATCAAACTTTTATTATGATCACAAAACCTTTTTTCGCAGTGTAACGTGCAGTAATGGCAATCACCGATAGATCACGTTACTCGTGAGGGTAATGAGCATGATTCCCCTTCCGGATTTTCGGCTTCACTCCCCTCGCCATGCCGTCTACTTCACACTGTATCCCTACTTTTCTATCAAGAAGACTAGAACCAGGGCAGCGATCATGTAACTTTTCCCTAGGGCGGAATCGTGAAAAGTGAAAACTTTCACGTGAACTGAGCGATCATGTAACTTTCAAACTATGGAAACGTGAAAGTTTTCACGTGAACTTGTTAGCCATGAAATTTGTGAGCGGAAAGGTGGAAATATAGGGAATTATAATGCATTGATCGAGTAATATCTATAATATCAAACCTTGTTTGACATGTGCATTTAAATGTGCAGTATAATTTCTTTTTACAACTTACATTCTGTTTAAGATGGTTTAAGAAGATTTTTTTTTAAGTGTGTCCCTCGGATAAGGGGAAAATAAAGGTTAAGAACAAGAACTTCTTGGTTATAACCGATGCGCGCATGCGCAAACTTTCACATAAATGTGCAATGCCACTGCGCATTGTATGAATAACCGCGGACGTTTTTTGACCTACCCTTACCACGCTAGTTTACTGGTTCTAGGCCGATATTCATAGTCAATTCTTATATTCAAGACCGTCTTAAGTTCAGTCTTGAGGAGTTACGAACCAATCAGAGGGCCGCTTTAGCATCTTAAGACATACTAAGACAGTCTTGAAATAAGAACCGACTATGAATACCGACCCTAGGTATCGATTATGTAAATTTTCACGAAAATTTCATTTTTCACTTTTTGTACATACCAATCTCACGTGAAAAGTTTCACTTTCAAACGATATCAGACTTAGTGATTATATAAGAAAATTATGAGAAAGTGAAATCAATGTAAGGAAGATACGAGAAAGTGAAATCATAAGGCGAATTTACATCGTTCTTCTTAAATTTATGAAAATTTCCCAGCTAGCAAGGTCACGTGATAATGACGTGAATTTTTGGTACAAATAACGTCAATTATGTCATAAAAGTAACGTTATTCTGACGTATATATCACGTGATTATGTCACATCTTATTGACGTTATTTATTACGTCAGGAAGACGTAAATATGACTAAAAAGTACTATTAGTGTCACTACTAGTGCAATAATGCAGTAGTAAATTCGTATATACTTCGTGTAGAAATTTAAGTAGAATACCGGTCAGTTTTCCCTAATTACTGAAAAAAAAAATTTTCTCTAAATTCGAGAATTAATTTTTTTTATGATACATCCCAAACGGTCACCCATCCGAAGTTGTACCACGACCTCGCATGCTTAACCTTGACAATCGTACGGGAACTGCTGTACTTCGATGACCAACGAATCTGTATGTCAATGTCTGTATAATTGTGATATATCTGTTCAATGGAAATATTGAAAACAGATGGTTTATGTGTTTATATGATAGTGTATGTATTAGTGTATGTATTAGTATATGTATCATTTCCGCAAGTGTAATGCGCATGACATATCATTTTATCCTTGTTTTTCATCGAATATTAAAGGATAAAATGATACATCAAATAATAATACACAAATAATAACAAAAAATAATTAATTAGTAATGGTCATATATATGACGTCAATGTAACATCTAGTTGACGTCATATCGGTGACGTCAACTTTTGGTATTACAAATGATGTCAAAATAACGTTCCATTTATGTCACTTGACGGCATTGTCATCAAAATCACTTCATAATCACGTCATTATCACATGAGCTTACTAGCTGGGTTAACAAGTGTTCACGGGTATGTATGCATATACGTGCATACGTATTTTGATAGGAAATCATATTGTGCTCATTATTTGTTGTTCGTTATTATATAATCAAGAATAACAATGAATGTAACTCAAAAACAAAAGGAAATGCTGTTAGACATAATGTCAAAAAATTTGGATATTGTGCGGGGAAGAGTGTCACGAATTTCTCAGAGCCGTATGGAACTGGTAAAAACATGTTATTTCGCACTGCTCTTGTTCTTGATTATATGTAGTAAAAAAATAATATATATTTAAAACTCGTAGAAAAATGTATTGGAGAACATAGCACAAACCCTAAATTGTTCTGGATTGGGGCCGGAGAAATCTTCATCTGAATGGAAAAAGGTTATTTTTTAACTTGTTTTATAATCTCTTTTTTATTATAATTCTCATTTTTAAATTTTTATGTGATTTTTATGCACTTCATACTTTTATCTTTTACTCATATATTTGATTTAATATTTTTAATTTTTCTTTTATGTATTACTATATCAACAGTGCTGGAATGATTGGAAAAGTGACGTATTGAGAAAAGAAGCCAAGAAGAGCTGAAATGACAAGAACAGGAGGAGGTCCTGCAGTAGTAGTTACATTTTCTGACTTGGAAGAAAAACTTTTGAACCTCTTAACACCAGAAGCAGCTGGAATGTCCAATATACTAGAAGGTGGATTGATTTTTACAGCATCAAATACAAATGTTATTGTATGTATTTTATTACTATTTATCTTTTTGCTTTTTGAATAATGTGTTTACAATATTTTGTTATTTTTAATATAGATTAATCGTGAGAAGATAGAACCTGAAAAAATTGAACATAACAAAGGTAGTACTTTGTCATGTAAAGATGCACTATCAAGTAGCTGCAGTGCGACAGATGTTGAATACACTGACATTGTGGAATATGATAATAACAATACATGCTACTCTTCCATTGTACTCAGTGATATAGATGATGACATCCATTCAGAAAATACGCTAAATATTAGAACCGATCTACCTCTGACGATTGAGAAAGTGAAGAAGGTAAATGTAGAAAAACAAACAAAGCCTAGAAACAGTGATATTTGCTTTTCTCCTGTAACTTTACAAAGTAATGCAGAAGCAGGCATATCAAAAAATATAGAGGACAAAGAAAACAATCCACCTAAAAAAATTAGAAAAATAATGAAAGTACATACTGAAGAACAAGGAAATTCAAAACAACAGGAAATAAAAAGTTTGACGATAAATGAAACTTCAATGCAAATGTTAAAACTTCAACAACAGAAGTTAGCAATAAAAAATGAGGAATTACAATTACGGAAGGAATTAATTGCCGTTCAAAAAGATATTCTTAAAGAGATAAAAGACTTAAATGCAAATGTGCGAGGTAATTATTTGGAACAGTAAAATAACATACGAGGCAGTAATATTTCTTCATTACATTTCTTCGTAATTTGTGAATCATATAAAAAAATATATTATTTTCTTGTTAATTCTTTTCAACTGTTAGTTATAATTTTTATTTTATATAGTTGATATGAAAATGTGAGTTATAATTTTTATTTTATATAGTTGATATATAGTATTATATAACATAGTTGAAATGAAAACGTGATACCAAATATTGTGATAAAAAGCCAAAGTATAAGTTTAATAATGTTGTAAAAAGGTAGTACAGCGATATTAATTTTGTTCTCAATGAATAAAAAACATGAATTATACCAAAATGTATATGATTATTTATTTTCCTTTTTAATTCATAAAATATCGACGAATGATGGTTTCGCGAACTATATTTCCGTTGACACGTTGTATATTTTGGTTGTACTCGTATGGTTCATTTCTTTCCAGGTCAATTTCATCGAGATAAATGTCAGGATTTGGTACATTAAAATGTTTTGCGTAGTTATGCAATATACAAGCTGCATTCACTATTAAAGCTGTAAGAAATAAAAATATATGTAGTACTAAAAAAAATTCGTTGACCTATGAATAATTATCTATATTAGTGACAAAACTATTTATTTACATTTTATTATCCAATTATTAATAATCGTAACGTCATTAATCGGAATTTTCCCAAAAATAAATATCTACCCGCAAACTCTGGTTGGTAGTGTAGTGCTCGTTCTTTTCGCAGACCGCCACCGTCCTTTTAATTCTCCTATGCATCTTTCAATTCTACTTCGAGCCGACACGTGTGCTTGTGTGTATCGTGCAGATGGTGTTCCAGGTTCTTGATTTAACTTCGGTGTCATCAAGTACGGCAATATAGGATATGCTGAATCACCTGAAAATATAGAACTTGAAAATGTATCACCTGGTAATATAGGATATGCTGAATAGTACAAGACTTTTCTTCTTAGTTTAGTCCGCTCTACCTGTCCATGAAATTTTTCAGATGAATTATGGGACACCCTATATATAATACAAATTAACTGTAAGTTTATTGCATTGTATATAATATGAAAAAGACCGAATATAACATGAATTTTATATGTGGTGAATAAAGAACAAATATTTAAATGAAATTGTTGTTTTTTTAGATAATAATTTTAAATGGTGTAAATAAATAACATAATATTCATATGAAAGAAAGATATAAGTAATTGACTCGTGTGATTAAAATCAAGTGAAAATTGGAAATGCCTAATCGAGTCTTGAAACAGGATGTTAGTGTTTATTATAAATTTCACATATTTATAATAAACACTAACATCCTGTTTCAAGACTCAATTAGGCATTTCCAATTTTCACATAATATTCATACTTGCCTAACAACCATGCACTAGTTTCGCCATTTAAGAAACGTTCTTTCAAATGGACAGATAGTGCGGACGTATTCCAAACCCTAGCGTCATGAGTGCGTCCACCATGGGCAGCATTCACAAACAATATTTTACCATCGTAATCACATACCTTCAAATATATGACAGCATTCATTAATAGATACATATGATAAGTATAAATACAAATATATATATATATAT